GTTTGAGTCCGATTTTTTTTGGCCTAGTCCGATATATTCTCGATTTCTTTATATGAAGTATTTTTGTCGATCCATATTTTTTACCCCATTTTTTTTATCTGAATTTATAAAATAAAAACGAGTAATTTCTAATTTCATGTTAAATCGATTTATTGATAATCCCCGACGCGATAATGAAAACCATGTTGTCCTTTCCTCTAAAGATACTAGCCTTTTTTTTAGGAAAACAAAAGAGGCAGTTTTGTTTTATTAGCATTTATTGAATGTAGTAGAACCACACAACAACATCACCACAGGCTTAAATTTGGCATTAATTTAGGAAAGTAATGTTGTACTCTAGGATCACATGATATATATATTCCCTTGTTTTCAATAATAAATTATTTGCAATTTCTTGAGCAGAAATATAGATATCCTCATTAGAAGGACTACATGAGTATTTCCAATAAAAAGTGCTTGTATATACGACTTTCCCCAAACACCCGTGGAATCATAAATCTATGATGTTTGAATGCCCCATATATATATGGACAAGGTCTTAAGTCCCCCCGACTCACCTATTTAAATGAGTCCTCTCTCTAAAATCTATCTTAAAGATAATTATGAATTTGAAAAAACTTAAAATAAAAAATGAGACTTTTTCATACAGTTTTAACACCCTAAGTGTACAACCTGGGTGGGGCAGCCGTTTGCTTACATCCATCAACAAGATGCATGATGTTGCGTTAGGGGACGCAATTGTAGAAGTGTGTCCCTAGTACACCAATTATTTTTCCTGTATAATTTCGCTAACTAGGCCATTTATATTTACCAAAAACTTCTATACTCCCGTAGGTGTATATTGTCTATTTACTCCCTTGGATGAAACACTAGAGGAATAATTTTAGGACCCCAAATTTTGGAGATAAGAACCTCCTAACCCATAGACTAACGTCAGTAAATAGAATTTTCTGAATTGAACTCATTATGTACTAGAAAACAACAATATCCGAATATTGAATAGAGATCATCTAATTTTTTAACGGCAAAAACTAAGCGCCATAAAACTCAAAATTCAAAATTTTTCTATTGAAAATAATCACCTATTATTCTTAGGTGGTTCCCACAGTTTTAGACTAAAAAAATCCTCGCAAGCGGGCCTTCTAATCGAGGGAGTAGTATATGCACTCTTTAAATGTTCCCTTATCTATGCATCGTTTATTATTTCTATGCATTGTTTTCCACCTACTACAGAGACTTCGAACTTATTGTAAGATAGACTCATGGTTCCAAACCAAACTCTTTTATGGACTATATATATAACTTAAAAGTAGATTATATATATATAATCTAGGTAAAATATCTTCTTATCCCCTTTTTTAACTTTTGTATCTCTCGAGACCCAAGAATTGAAAATATTACTTACAAACAAAAGACCGTCATCTTTCTATCTTATAACCCCCTGAATCCCTTTAGACATGAAGTTTTGATCCAAACAAAGACTAAAATGACGCCCTCAACCCTTTTCAATATCTTCCTTTATATTTTATAATTCAAGATTTTTACAGCAAATCCGCTCTCTTTGCCCGAACTCTCTCTCTCCCAAAATTGTCCTCTCTCTCTACAGAAATAACAAAATTTCATCCACTCTCCATTTTTAAGTAAACCATCTCTCTCTCTACCAAAATCTCAAAGGAGATCTCCCATCTCCCTCTCCACCAAATCTCCCAATCTCTCTCTCACATCACCCCAATCTCTCTCTCTCCCAAGCTCTCTCAGCAGATCAGTGCTTATGCTCTCTCTCTCTCACAAAATCTCTCTCCCAATCACTACATTGCTCTGAAGCAAAATCTCAGAAGCATGTGCTCGTCTCCATCCCATATATCAATTTACAGGCCTTCTTTTCCACTGCTATCACAAAATATTTGATTAACCATATAAGAAATTTCATTTAGGGCATGGCCTAATGTTCATGGAGCATAAAGATAGCTTGATTGTAAGAGAACCTATGCAAAATCTATTTATGCAAAATCTCTCTTTAAGCGTATATATATTTCTCTCTTAATGTCGTTTCACCTCTTTGCCTAAAAGTAGCTCTCTCTCTCTCTCATTAGATAGGTCTCCTTTTTTCTCTGTCTTTACCTCTACTTCCCTATCTATGCTCAAGTATGTCTTCTCCCCTTACAAGCGGCTCTTTTTCTCTCTCTAAAAATAGGTTTCTCTATTTCACTCTAAATTGGTGTTTCCCTCTTTACAGTTTTTGGATTTCAGGCAAAATTTCTCCCTCTTTCACTGCATTTGATTTTGTCTGTGCAAATGAGGCAGGGGAATAGTTTTGTTTTTGCCATTAGAGGACCTTCAATTTCTCTCTCGTGGGTGTGGTAACATATTAGAAGTAGAGAGAGAAATCAATTTGCTAATGAGAGAGGACGGGTAGAGAGAAACAAGAAGTAGGGAGAGAAATCATTTTGCTAATCCAGAATACCAAATTTTTACCTCCAACCAAACCTTTTGAGGGTGTCATTTTGGTTTTGTTTGGGTCAAACCTAAGGGGTTCACGGGGTTGCAAGATAAAAAAAATGGAGGTCTTTTGCTTACAATCTTTGAGTCTCAAGAGATACATAAGATAAAAATAGGGGATAAGAAGATATTTTCCCCTATAATCTAAAAGTTATTTATGCGTTGGGGAACGTAATTCTACTGTTGCATCCCCCAAGGTATCAAATCATCTTTAAGATGGGTGTAAAGTTGTGGTCTCACTTAAAAACATAAAATCCAAATTTTCTCCAAAAAATTCTCATATTTAACTTTTAAAATTTATTTATTTTTTAAATATTAGTGATGCCCAAGTAAGAGATTATATATTCAAAAAATTACGTCCAAAATCCATCTAAAAAATAAATAGACCAGAGGGTTATTTTATGGAAAAAAAAGAAAAGGGAAGCAATATCTACATATGAGTCTAGGGCTCATAAAAACCATGTCCATATATAATAAATAAAATCATGAGTCTAATACTCATAAAAACCATGTCCATATATCTTTTCAAAAATAGATAGAAAAGAGGGAAGGTATTTTATGGGGAAGAAATATCTACATATTAGTCTAGGACTCATAAAAAACTTGTCCATATATAATAAATAATCTGTAGACATAGGTACATGTTCTTCAAGTACTCTCCCTCTTTCTTTTTATTTTTCTAAAAGTTGGGTGAAATATGAGTACATGTTTTAGTTCATTTGGCTATGATTCCTCCAAGTCTCAACATTCTCCTACCTCATCTCCTCCTTTATTTAACCAACGTGTTCTTCTTTCCCACCAGACAACTACAACAAACCCGCATTAATTTATCCTCCAACAAAATAAAATTTTAAAAGTGAAAAGATTAGAAATTGACATAACTCCTTATAATTTGCTTTAAATATCACCGTTTATCTCATCCACATCAAGTGTCTCACTCTTCTCCTAATTCCTGCTCCATTCCCACTCAAAACAATTTTAAAAAAAAAAAGGGGTTTCTATTTCTGTTTTTTTTGTAATTTATTGTATTTCTTTCCTGAACATCTTCCTCATTTGCCAATTGTTTTTCAGCTTTCGGGCACTAAATGTAGCAGAGAGTTAATAAGTACACGCATCTAGCTTTTGAATCATATTCCCACTCTGAAAATATCATTTGATAGAAGAAAACAGCTTTCTTCGAGTCTATGTTTATCAATCTTTCATTCAATGAGACACCTCATATCTGCTGTGCAATCCCCCATTCAATATACCCCAATATTCCCGACATTTCGCCTTCTGCACTGTGAGTGTTTTAAGTAATTCCTTTTTTGAATTACCCAAAATCGTAATTCGTTTTTTGTGAGTAAACTAAGTTCTCTGACCCTTTACACCATTTACACCAAAATTAGCATAGTGGGGGGAAGGAAATCAACCAAAATCTTCCGCATTTACTTATTGAAATCCTTGAATTCAAAATCTTTGCTCAACCAAAATCTTCCGCATTTACTTATTGAAATCCTTGAATTCAAAATCTTTGCTCTCTCTCTCTCTC